CAAACAAAGGGAGCTGACCCGCGAGTCGGTCAGAGCCCCGCCCAACCGAACAGTATTTGACTCCCACCCCCTCGACCCATCCAGCTCCTGCCTGCAGGCCAGGTAGTAATGCAGCAGTGTGACACATTTTATTTGGACATTAAAATAAAATTATGCAAAGTTAATACAGTAGTCAGTGATGAGTAGGACTGATCGGGGGCACATGTGCTGTAGTTTTATATTTAGACAACCAACTTTGTCTTCATCCAGCCACCTGTAGCTAACTGATAAGTCGTAAACATGAGCATCTTTGCCCTCTCAGCTGTCATTGCTGCATGATGTGGACTGCAGTGATCTGCTCCTGCAGCCGGTTCTGACCTTGTTGTTTTGCTTTCATCAACTTTATTCATTCTTGTTGTTTTGCTCCCAGTCTGCAGGCCCCTCCTCCAAGTGTTCATTCAGGCATCAGTGTGTTAGAAGCGCAGGAGGCCTCGTCGCGGCAGCAGAAGCAGGTGTCCCCAGCAGAGGGAGCTCCCCCAGCATACAGCGAGGTGGTGGGGCACTACTACCACCCGACCTCCCTGAATCGCAGCCACAGCCTTCGGACTGTATCATCCTCGCAAGCACCCCCGTCCTCGCTTATACATGGTCTGCTCCGACCTCCACCTCAGCAGCAAGGAAGTGTGGACAACAGGAATGCAAGGAATACAAAAGAGAAATCCCAGAAGCCCCAGCAGGTGTGACAGCACCACTTCATCTTCCTAGCCTGCTGGAAAACCAGGATGATGTCTGCACATGGGAAACAGTCAGCAGCCAGCGAGGAACAACCTGGTCAATGGTAAAATCCACTCTGAATGGTTAAAGGGCTGCTTCATGTCAGTTGTAGCTGAAATGTGGTCAGTTTCAGTTTCCCCCACTGCATGAATCAGGCTAGGACGGGGAGGGAGCAGCACATGCTCAATAGGTAAGAACACCTGGAAACCACATCACTCCTGCAGAAGAACATCTGTTGCTTCTTGTTCCACTGGTTCCTACTTCCTGTCTGAGGAGCACTTCAGATGGACCGATGATGTCTGAGTAGGAGGGCAAAAGATGGAAAGGGACAAGGAAGGAGGAGGCCTCCTTATTATCTTAACAGCTCCACCTCATCCCTCCTCAGACTGCTCGAACCAGTCTTCAGTCCTTATAAATATTTACTTGTTCTGCTTGTTTCTATCATATTTTTCTTTGTCTGTTCCTCTTTTTTGCACTGACAAGATAATTCCTATCCAGGCAAAATGTTGCAATCTTCTGCCATGTTTTGGGACTTCTTTTGTTTTCTAGTGATAATCCACCTCGCTGTTTTGACTCCATTTAATTCTGTTCATGTCTGCACAGTCCAGCATTAGCATCAACTCCTGCACCAGGCTGGGAAATGTTAGCACAATAGAATATTTCCAGAGAGAGTTTAGATGTAGTTAGTGTCATCTTAAACTAGCCTGGCAGTTAGAACACAGTGCTAAAACATCCTCGAGCTAAAGATTCTGCCTTATATCGACCGAACAGTGCAGGAGTTGTTGCCAGAACCCTTTTTGAAAGTTCTGTTTTATGTTTTCTGAAGGTTTGCACAAATATCAAGACTGTTCACCACAGAAAAAAAAACATGCGCAATATGATTACTAATTGTGAAAACAGAGAAAGTAGGTGTATTTTTCTAAACCTGAGGGATTCTTATGAGTAAATGTTTTCTCTCTTTGGTTTTATATGGCGGCACAGTGGCGCAGTGGTTAGTGCTGTCGCCTCACAGCAAGAAGTTTCTGGGTTCTGGTGCCTTTCTGTGTGGAGTTTGCATGTTCTCCCTGTGCCTGCATCCAAAGACATGCAGCTTAGGTTGATTGGTGACTCTAAATTGCCCCGTAGAAATGAGTGTGTGTGTGGTCGCTTGTCTTCAAGTCAACCCTGTGACAGACTGGCGATATGTCCAGGGTGGACCCCGCCTCTCGCCCAATGTCAGTTGGGATTGGCTCCTGTGATCCTGTTCGGGATACGCAGTATCAATAATGGATGGAAGGTTTTATGTGGTGTCTAGTTTTAGAAAAAGAAGCAAACATCAGTAATCTGTCGGGGTGCCAACTTTCACGTGGAACATTTTGCTACATACATGTTGGCATGCATATACGTTACATATGGAGTATATATACACACATGTATGGAAACTGAGAGCACGAATTTAGAGTTATTTATATAATTGCTGAAAAGATTTGCACTATTTTTTTAGTATGCGCAGATGAAATGTGTAAGAGAGACTTTTATTTTGAAGGAGCTCTGTCTATTGAGGTGTAACCACAATGAGAGAGGCCTAAACCACAGGGACTTACCAGACCAGACCAGTGCACAGCAGCTGCTTTCATGACAGCACACAGTATCATGGGGAGGTTCTGACTTTGGTCCAGTGGACTCGGACCAAACATTACTTTACCATTGATTTAAAAAAAAATCCCTGGTTTATGCAAATGTCCGAGTCCTGCAAGCCAACCACAAGTCAGCACTCAACCTGTGGGCCCAATCAGAAACTCTGCTCGTAGCGCTGTCTCTCACCTTACTGACTGAATCTTCAGCCAGTCCCAAAGCAGGTTGTCACTACCTCGACCAAACAAGCACATGTAAGTTTGCTCACCTTAATCAGATTTTGTCACGGGGAACAAATGTCTGAACTAATCAAGACAGTGAGTAATGTAGCTGTAGGGGAGTAGAGGATGCACAGTAGTAGAGTTAGTTTTTAATCCTGCTGTGTTATTTTATTTGAATGCCAGATTGTTTTGTGAGAAGAGAGACAGTGATGCAAATCTAGTGATACCTAATGTCCCCTTTGTAGTGCACTACTCAGGAAGGAAGCCAGGTCACCCTACAGGCCCTAAATGTGTGGTAGATTTCCTGTGCACTGCTGTGACCTCACACATATCAGACCAATCAGTTTGATCACAAGCCTCCAGTTTTTTAAAAGTTGCATGTCTCCTGAGTCACCTCTGGTAGGTTTCTCTCTCTCGCAGGCATCTCTGAGCACTTTACTGCACCAGGACAGAGGCAACAATCCCGTCAGCCAGCGTCTGCCTCAGCTCGCCGCCAGGGTAAATCCTTAAAGCTACAGTCAAACCTTTTGATTTTCTAAATCAAAATCTCCAACCTTTAGAGCCACACTTGTAAAAGATGGAAAGACTTGTGCTCCACAACATTAAACATCCTTTTAGTTGGAAACAAACACAGCCTCATTTCCTGGAAACTTCCACCAAGTCTGTACGATCTGTAATAGTTATGACTAGGGCTGGGTATTGTTTGAAGCTTTTTCATGCTATGACAATAAGACACCTGAGTCTCAGGACCAGTAGCAACAGTTCAGATGCTTCAGTCTTTAACCCTTCTTTTAATTTCTGCAGCATTAAATGTGCTTTATACAAGCAGCCATATGAAAACTTTGGCTGAATAAAACACAGTCTACAATTGACAAACTAATTTAAATCAAGAACAGCCATGTTGTCTATTTCAGTTTGGAGCACAAGTCTTTGTGTGTTGAACGCAGCATGAGACGAGTTGTCGCAGACTAGACACACCGAAGTGTTGAAAAGTGACACGAGTGTTGAAAGCGGCTTGTCTTGTGTCATCTCTTTAAGAGTGTGGAAATAAAGGTAACACAACTATTAGCTCATTAAAGTAAAAAATTTGAGCATACACACGTTTGTAGTTCACCACATGTAGGCCCAAATGGAGCCAGCGCCCCCTAGTGTCCAGCCTTTATGCAACAGCGCCCTCCACAGGGACTGAACAAACTGCAGCCAAAACAACCAAAGCTGAGTCGGCTTTACTTTGTAGCCTGAGGAGAGGAGAGAGATAAAGGCCAAAAAAAAAAAAAACACGCCCTTTTATAATCTGGTACTGTGCATTTTAATTCCTTTGTCTTTCTTTCCAAGTGAATCACAGGTGTCTAAGGCTCCGTGTACAGAGTAACAGCTAATCCACCTCTACAGCTGTAACGTGGCATTTTGAACCAGGCTTTTAAACATTTTGTTAAATTGATCTTTAAAAATGTTATTTTCATTTAATTTTTATACTTTTATAACACAACAATGACCATTTCTTTCTTTTTTAAAGGTTTTTTTCTAATGTAATCAACAAACAAGGACATGCAGTATTTCTGATAGCATGGATTAAACAGACAAACGAACTTTAACTTGTCATGACAAGTATGTCATGAGATTTATATCCTTTATCTATGAGATATTAAAACATTTTAGGACTCTCAGAGCAACATGGCAGCACAGATCAGAGCTCTGTAGCTTTCTGCCTTTCACTCCTGTGATGTGAAAAAAGACAAATAATCAAAATCCATTTATTGGGATTCCCTTTCCCACTGTCTTTACTGTCTCGCTCTCTCCTCTGCTGCACTGCTGTGTCAGCATCTTGTATTTAATGACAAGCACTTGAAATAAAAATCATGTGAAGAAATTAATTGTTTGACCCAAAGCAGCTGGAGGAGCAATGATTAGATTAATCAAAGCATACATCACCTTTGTCCTTTTTAAGAGATTATGAGCCTGGCCCCAAAGCAAGTGCTAATTTATTGACCCTTCCTTGCTTTAATCTGCCCTTCCCTTCCTTTCCTGTGATACTTGTGTTCAGACCAGGCTGTTGCTTCGGTTCCCTGCACCGGTGGGATT